AAGTGTACAAGTGTTTTTTTCATTTCAAAAAAAGATGAAATGTCGATTGATGACAAGCCTCGTCCTGGACATCTGTCAAATGAACGAAAACGTTGACTCACAGTGCATTTGGAGTTCGTTCCACCAGGTCAGATGAACCACCAGTTAATCAAGCTTTCTATTTAGAGGTTCTGAAAAGACTGCGTAACAGCGTGTGACAAAAAGAGGCCTGATTTGTGGTAGACAGGGGACTGGTTTTGCCACCATGACCATGTAGCCTTTTCAGTGCACCAGTTTGGCAGAAAACAGCATGCGTCTCTTGCCCCAGGCACCTTTTTGTTTCCTTGAATGAAGAGGGGCATGAAAGGACAGCAATTTGACGGTGTAGAAAAGGTGAAGTGAAAACGAGGGAGGTGCTGTCAGCCATCTAAACAGATGAGTTTGAAAACATTTCCAAGAATGGAATTGCAGATTTGCCAAATGTATTAAGTGTAATGGAAAGTGCTTTGAAGGTAACAGGGTTGTTTTGTTTAAAAAAATTTATATAGCTTTGGGGGGAAAAATCTGGTTGTTTGGGGGTAGCCCCTCATATGTATCTTCTCTTTCTTACTTGACTCTGCCTCTTGGGGGTAGGATATTTACCTGTCTCTCCTAGGTTCTGATACCCAGCAGGTGATTAATCAATATTGGTGAGTTAAAAGTCCATGATCTCTCGGTTCTCTGGCTTACCTAGCTGCCTCTTGGCCTCTGGCCAAGTGGGATCATTGCCTCGGAGAATCATGACTGCCTGCAGCACCATCTCCACTTGAGCGGGTGGGCGTCCATAGGACTTGATCTCTCCTATATCCTTCTTGTTCAGAGACTCCAGAGCCTAGGAAGAGGAATTCATTAGCAGGGTCAGAGTCAACTCAGGTGTGAAGGCAGACCTTTAATGGAGACAGGTGCCACCTCTTTCCCCAGTTCCTCGGAGACTCTGAGGGTAAAGCAGCCCTATTCCCTTCCCCGGACCATCCTGGCACACATCCTTCCACCTGCCCCTAGTACCCTCATGGCCTCTTCCAGGGCTGGCAGGGCCTCTTCTAGATCCTTCTGGGCATTGTCAGCCAGGGCCTGACACTTGATCTCCTCGACTGCGATCTTCTCACTGTTGGCTGTCACTGCCTAGGGATGAAAAGCAAGGAGCCCTGCTGGAGCACGTGGTTCCCACTCAGTTAACAACCCACCAGCCACTCCCTAAGAGAAAGACATGGCATAGCCCTTCATTTGGGTAGCTTGTAATTTGACAAATGGTTTAAATAAAATATTTGCTTCATTTTTTTAAAAAAGAAAAAAGTATAGCCTTGAAAGAGGGCCAGGGTTTTGTCTTCACTGCGGGCCAAGGCGAGAGGGAAGATGGAAGTTAACGCGAAAGAAGTCAAAGGTGTGTCCCCGAAACAGCAACTGCTGGCAACCCAGGAGGCTCTCCCCACCGGCACTGGAAGTGGTGTGTGTGTGTGGGGGGGAGACCCCCCCCCCAGCACACCAGCCCTGACCTTCTGCTGCTCATCCGCCTCGCGCTTCTGCTGCACGATGATGACCAGGTACTCCTCACACTGCTTCTGGAACTCAGCCACCTTCTTCTTGGCGTCCTCCAGCTCCAGGGACATCACCTCCACCTTCTCCCTGGTCTCGTCGATCTTGAACAGCCCCGTCCGCAGCTTATTGGCTTGGTCCAGTAGCTCCTGCCGCTTCTCTCTCAGCAACCTGGACGACAGTGCAGAGCGAGGTGGCCCAAGAGGCTGGGGTCACAGCAAAGGGAGTGGCCCAAGGCTCCTTTCTCAACGTCTCTTGAGTCCTACCTCCCTGGCTGTGGCCACCTCTACCACCCACTCAGATCTTTACCAAGTCCTGCCTGGCTCCTTGCTAATTGCTGCCCGTGCCACCCCCACCCCCCAGCCCCCACCTGTCTCCCATGCTCCTCTCTCCCTTGACTGGGCATCACTGCCACAATTAGCTTGCTAAGCCTGATTTTTACCACACTGCTTTCCTGACTTGACAGTCTTGGGTTGGTTCCCACTGTGCAGCTGGCCAGATGGGGACGGCAGTGAGCCAGGACACAGGTGCCCGCCTCAAGGGTGTGGGTGGGGGTCCCCAGCACAGACAGTTTTCCCTCTGTGTGAGTGTGGGCTAGCATTGCCACAATTTCTGAATTTTTTTAAAGAGGAATTAGAAATCCAGGTTTCTATAAGGCTCCCACGTTTGAAGTGTTGGCAACTCATTTAAAAGACAAGTTCAATGTGGGACAGGCAAAACAAAACAAAAACTCTACAGAGAATGGTTGTTGGGCTTATATGAGAAAATACAAAGGTAAGTCAAAAAACATTGCTACAAAGTTACCGACGCGTTTACTAAACATGTTTAAAATGCGCAGCAACTGTTTCTCCACACATCCTCCATCGGAGCTGTACGCTCTCGGGGCAGGGTTCCCGCCTCTACGCCTTCCTGGGCACTGCCAGACACACCACATCAAAGTGGCAGTTTGGGGCATTCCTGAGAACTCAAAAAATTGCCTTTTAATGTTCTTTGAGCTTGAGGCATGAAAACAGAAAGTCTGAAGGGGCAAGATAAGGGCTGTAGAATGGGTGGGGTAAGCTTTCCTGATGAAATGCCCCCAGGACAGCTGAGCAGGTGTGTTGTTGTGATGAGGAAGCAATCGCTCGGTACAGCCTTCCTGCCTTTTGTCTCATCAGTGCAGTTAACATTTTCTTAAAACTTCTCCCTAGTAGTCCTGTGTTCACTGAGAGAATCTGTCCAGATGACCCCTTGGGGATTCCCACCCCCCAAATAGCTGTCCTAATCTTTTGAGCTAACATCTCTGCCTTAATTACCCTTTGAGGGCTTCCGGACCTTCTTTAAAATTCTCGTCCATCTAAAAGTTAGGGTTTCATGTGAAGCAGCATTCCTGCAAACTTGCTGTAAAGCTTCAATGATTTGGGAAAATGCGAGTGTTGTGGAAAATTTGATATTAGCCTTGACCCCTCTCCGCCCCCGCCCCCCATGGCACAAAAAGTACCCCTTTATTTGGAGGTGTGCTAGTGAGACGGAGCCAGTGTATTACTAGGAAAACATCCACTGATGGCAAAGACATGTTTAAACGTGCCTTAAAAAATAAACAGTAAAGATCCCCCAATAAAACGATTTATTTTCACACACACAAAAAATAAATAAACAAATAAATAAATAAATAAACAGTATTCTGTGGGGGTCTCCCAGCTGGGAAGCACAGGCGGAGTGGATGCATATGATAATAACTGATACACAGGTGTATAGGGGATGGAGGGGGAGGGAAAGGGAATGTAGGGAGTAAATCATGAAGGTGGCAGGGGGAGGGAGCACTAGAAGGGCTTGTGATTGCACAACTCATTTTAAAGTTGACTTAACCCTGGGGGGTGGGAGGGTGTTCAAAAAGGGATATGGTGATGATTGTACAATTCTCCTAGCTATGACTGAAGGACTGAACTCTTGAATAGTATGATATGTAAATTATGTGCCAATAAAACTGTTGGGAGAAAAAGAAAGGAAACAGAAATAAACAAACTCGTGAAAGTGTAAACTAGCACTCTAGTAGCTGTATCTCACTCCCTGTGTAAAAGACTATGTGAACCAGTGATTGGCAAGCTGTAAACAGGATATAAGCCTATGAAGCCCCAAGAGGCCAGGAACTGAATTTTATCCTTTAATATGCTGTGGATATTTAGCATAGTGCTAAGTACATAGTAGGTGCTCAAAAGAAAATGTGTTAAATGAATGAATGTGTTGATGACCATTATTCCTACAAATGCCTTTTCTTCACTGTTATTCACATATTGAATCTTTAGAGCTAATTTTTAAACATTTTCTTTATATTCATAGCAAACTGTAGTATGCTACACACGAGAAGACAATATAATCACTGAGTGAATAAATCCAGAATTCTTGGGAATGGTGCAGAGTCCACAAGGCGCTAACGGGAGAGGGAAAGGCAATGTGTTATAGCAATGTCCCAGTGTCTTGTGGTTGGAAAGAGAGAAAAAGAGAAACATCATTCCAGGAAATTAAGGCACAGAGGGTGTCGAGAGGGACTGGAGCCTGGAGAACATAGCCAGAGGGCTCTAGAAACTAAGATCCCCCGCACCTCTGCCATTCTATAAGGGCATTCCAAGTGCTTGAACTGGACCCTTTGGCCAGCTCCGGAATGGTTTCCATGACGTCATTTCACTACGGACCGACCAAGGCAGCAGCGCCTAGCCTCCCGTGCCTTGTCGGGCTACCTACTTCTTATATCCAGACACGAGCTCCAGGTAGTTGGTGGGTGTGACGTAGTTGAATCTTCTTAGCTCCAACAACATCTTCTGGGAGTACTGGGCCACTGACCAGTGCATGGTGACAAAGATCTGGGCTACCTTCTTGTGGATCTGAGCCAACGAACACGGGATGTAAGTCAGAGCGAAAGGGCCAGCAGAAAGTGGGGGAGCTGGCGTGGTGAAAGGGAAGGGGCCAGGGCTGTGGAATAGTGGTGGGGAGGGGGGCTCACATTCTCCTGGGTTCCCAGGTCTTCTCCCATGAGGTACTTCTCCGCCACCTCCAGCAGGGCCTCACGGGGCCACTCGGAGAACCAGTTGATGGTCGTGCAGTTCACCAGGGCTGGGTACTGGCGGATCCAGTTTCTGGGAAGAGGTTTTGAGGCAACGAGGTCTACCCAGGGATGCACTCAGCCTTTCCTTCCCTCGCTCCACATGTCCCTTCTCTCTGCAGGAACCTACATGGCCCTCATTTGGCCTCTCGATCTCTCTGTCTAGATCCCATTGTCCTCTCATCTACTTCAGTAGAGGATGATGAACAGGGTACATCTCCTAGGGGTGAATCCTTGGCAAACGAGCTAATCTCTCTGAATCTCAGCTTCCTCAGCTGGACAACCCATCCTACCGAGGAAGGTGAGAGGAGTGAAGGAGGAGACCCATGCAAAAGGCCAGCCCAGCAACTGGCCCGGAGTAAATACAGGATCAGTGCCAATCATATTTTAAAAATAAAGTCGTGACCCACGTTGGCTCTCTCTCCCAACAATTCTTTGCCCTCCCTGGCTTCTAGTCAGACCAGAAAGAACAGGCAACTCCTGCGGAAGCCCTTTGAAAAGGGGGTTAGACAGGAGTGCCCATCGTTGTTCATGAGCTGAATGTGCAGAAGACGGAGGAAGACCAACTGGAGAGTCCTGAGGGCACCTAGGGAGGGGTGATGGCAGGACTCACCTGAAGGGGTCCCCCACAGGACTGAGGCAGAGCACGATGTGCAGGTTGTTCCTCACACGTTCGATGAGGTAGGTGAAGAGGCTGTCGGGTGTCTCGGGGACCTGTTCTGCCTTGGCCTGCTCTATGATCTGTGTCTGGATCTGCATAGAAGCCACAGAACATTGGGGAATGGAGTGCCCAGGGCAGAATCCGAGGGGCAGCAGGCTAGGCAGGGGTACCAATGGGCAGGTTTCAAAACTCCTCTTCTCAGACCAGGTATACTGGTCAGATAGAGATGGGTGGAACCTCTAAGATGATGGCCCTTAATTGGCCAGGCCTGGAACTAAACGCACACCCACGCGCTAGATCAAAGGGACACATTATCCAAGGACAGTGGGTTCTGTGAGCAGGAGGGAAGGAGCAGACTGTGGAGGGAGGAAGTGGGATAAGGCATGGTAGGAGGTTGAAATGAACGAGTTGGAATAGAATATGTATAAATTGTTGAATGTAAAACTGATCATCTGCTCGGCAAACCTTCACCCATCACCATAAAGAGGTAAGTAAAATCAAAGTGGTTTTTTTTCTCGTTTGATTATAAATTTTTTTCCTAATATTTCTTTTAAAAAAATAATTTTATTAGGGGTTCATACAAGCAGCTCTTCCCAGGGGCTCCTCCTGCGTTCAAGGCAGATGACGAAAGAGCAGCAGTTCTTCTGCTCCGTGGGGAGGAGGGTGGGTGCTGGGTGGTATAAATGGCTCATGTGCTCACCCGCTAACTGAAAGGTCAGAGCTGGGGGTTCACCCAGAGGCACCTGGGAAGCAAGTTCTGGTGCCATACATCTGAAAGATTCAGCCATCGAAGACCCTCAGGACCACAGTTCTATTCTGACACACAGGAGGCAGGGGGGGGGGGGCGCGGGGGGGATCCTGTAGTCAGCGCTGACTTGAAAACAACTGTGTTTAAGGCAAGCCTCTGCATGGTGGTCTGTGGTTCTTCGGGGGTTCATCTGAGAATCGGGTCAAAGAGCCAACTGGTACTGGGTATGGAGGGCCCATACCTCCTCAAATTCATCGCTCTTGTAGAGATTGGGGACCTCTCCTGAGCTGAGAATGTTGTTGATGTCCTCTAGGAATGACTCATCAGCAATTTGGGTATCCACAAAGAGGAAGGACGTGGCCTTGAGCTCTACCCCAGCCTGGCGATACAGACGCTTGATATCTGGACCAGATGAGGGGAGGGAGGGGTGGGACCGAAGTAGAACAAACTCTCTCCAGAGGCCCCACCCCCACGCGCCGTCCCTTACTTTGCCTCTGAGATTTTGGACGCCTCCTAAACCACCAGGCACACCCCATTCCCTCCTCGTCCTCCACTCAGCACGGGCCTGGCACACCTCATTTGCTGGCTTCTAGCTCACAGGAAGTTAGGGACTTGGTCCTTTATTCCCCCAAGGCCCCTCCATTGTAGAGACCCGCTGTACCATTTCAGAGACCCTGGTGGTGTAGTGGTTAAGAATTGGGCTGCGGTCCACATGGTCGGCAGTTCAGAACCCCCAGCAGCTCAGAGGGAGAAAGACTGTTTACTCCCGTCCCTGGAACCCTCAGTGGGTCACTATGAGTCAGCATGCACTCGATGGCAGTGAGGTTGGGGTTTTTTGGCCGTACCTTCTCTGAACTCCTGCTTCCGATAATGTTTGGTGACCTCGATCTGGAAGGTGATGTACTCGCAGATAGACGAAGCCAGGCGGGCTAGACTCTGGCGCCCGCTGCCCCCGATGCCCACCAAGAGCATGTTGCCTCGAGGCTGTCCAATCACCCGCACTATCCGAGTGACTGTGTGGAGGGAGGACAAGGACAACGAATTGGTTGAGTAACCTCAGGGGACTGTAGCCTAGGGCCGGGAGGCATGAAACTGAAGGAGTGGAACTCAGGTGTGGGAAGAGGTTGGTGCCCTGAGGCGCTGGTATTACTTCAACAGCTGAACTCCATCTCATCTACGTAACAGAAGTGTCAAGGAAAGGCCTTACCTGTTGCCACCGGGGACTAAAGCACCAGGGAGGAAAACGATTTCCAAGATTTCAACTCCAGAGCTACCCGGTTCCCATCCCTCAGAAACGTCCCCCAAATGGGCGGGCGCGGCAGAGATGGGGACGGGGAGTGCTCACTGTGCTCAATGGCTTCTCGAAAGAGCACCAGCTGCATTGGCACGACAGCGGGCGACAGGTTATACTCATTAAGAGCTGTCTCCATGGCGGTCTTCAGTGCTGTCAGGTCACTCAGGTCCTCATACACCTTGGGCTCTTTCAGGAAGTCCCCTGGGCCACGAGAAGAGGGGTTCAGTGACTCACGTAGCTGGTCCTCCCCAGACCTCTCCTCAAGGCCCTAGAATCAAGACTGCCTAGCCCCCCTTTGTAACACCCATCTCTTAAGAATCTCGGCATCCAGTAGCCCCAGCTCCTCGCTCACCGAAGATGGGAGGACGTTTGTTGGGACACAGATTATGAAATGTGAGGTCGAAAAAGGAGCCAAGTTTGTCACTCATGATGCCCAGGAAAGCTTCCATGTCCGTCGCATCAACCAGCCGGTCGGAGAAGACTCTGTTGAGAGGGAGCTGGGATTTGATCTTGGAATACATGGAAGAACTCTGTGGAAACAACCGAAATGTCCACCAAGAGATGGAGGGCTAAGCAAAGCAGAGTGTAGCCACACACTGGACTGTCACACAGCCGTCAAGAGAAAGGAGGGCCTGCTACGTGATACCCCTGCAGGAACTTGGAAAACTTTATAGTGAATGTGAGTGAAATAAGTCAGCGGTACCGGAAACATTCATGAATCCACAGGCGCGTAATGCTGGCCTTGGTATCATGGAAGTCCTTGTTGGCTCTCAGCATGCCCTGGAATACCTGCGGGGAGGAGGGGAGAGACACATGACCATGAGATAGAAAACCGAAAAACCAAACTCATTGCCATCGAGTCAGTGCTGACTCGTAGTGACCCCCTGGGGGTTTCAGAGACTCTAACAGCCTTTCTCCCTCGGAGCTGCTGGTGGCGGTTTGGGACTGTAACCACTACATCACCAGGCCCTCCACGGCTTTCACACCAAAGCCAGAGAAAGCAGCATTCTAGGATGGGCGTGATTCTGGTGGTGTGATATGCTGTGGGGAGTCCGTTGATGGCGCAAATGGGTCATATGCTCAGCTAGCAGCGGAAAGTTGGCAATTAGAGTCGACCCAGAGGCACGTTAGAAGAAAACCCTCATGATCTACTTCTACTCTGGTCAACGTGCAATCACCGTGAGCCAGCTGAACGGCAATTGGTGGTACACTCGATATGCTACCGAGTTCCAAGGCTTATTTTGAAAAGAGAATGCCTCTAAGGGGGCTGGTCCAGGGCCAAGGGGGCATGGTCGGACTCAGTTTCACCTTGGAGATGTCTCGGAGATTGAAGAGATAATGGATCTTGGCGGGCGTGGGCAGGAAGCGCTGTACCACAGTATTGTACATGTCCAGGGTAGCTCCAGTCACCACATTCCCAATGGGCTTCACTTCTTCCTCAAAATCCTGAAGCTTCTGATTGATCATGGTGCCAAATATTCGGATAATCTGGGACTCCTAGAAATAGGCCCACAGTCGATCTCCAACGTTCCCAACCCAGGGCTGGGGCTATGGTGAGACCCAGCAAGGCACTTGTTAGGCCAGGCCTAAATTGTAGGGAAGCTAAAAAAAAAAAACCTCAGAAATAAAAAATGTAATGTCTAAAATAATCCATGAATATACAAATAGTCCCCAGGAAACTTCTCGAAGTAATAGAGGGATTTAGCAAAATTGCAGAGGCACAAGATCAGCAAGCAAAATCAGTTCGATTTCTTTACACAAGCAAATGAGAAATCTGGAGGGGAAATCATGGAAACAGTGCCATTTACAATAGTATCTAAGAAAACGACTGGGAGTAAATCTAACCAGGGGCACGGCAGACTTACGTAACGCAACCTGTAACCAAAGAAGACTTGAGTAGAAGGAAAGATGCTCCATGTTCATGGATTGGAAGACTTAAAGCTATCAAACACTATCCAAAGCACTCTTTAAATTCAATGCAATCCCAATAAAAATTCCAACAGTTTCTTCACAGAAATAGAAAAAACAACAACCAAACACTTCAACTTTATGTAAGAGGCAAGTCGCCCTGAATAGCTAAAACAATGCAGAAACATAAGAATAAGTAAGAAGGCACACGCTTCCTGATTTTAAAATATACTATATAGTTACAGTAGGAACCCTGGTGGCATAAAGGTTACATGTTCCACTGGGATCCTAAAGGTCAGCAGTTCGAAACCACTCCTCAGGGGAAGATGGGCTTTCTAATCCCAAACAAAATACAGTCCTGGAAACTCACAAGGGCAGTTCCACTCTGCCTTCTGAGTCGCTATGAGGGTTGCTATGAGTTGGCATCAATTCAATGGTAGTGAGTTTGGTTTGGTTTAGTATGTAGCTGCAGTGGAGCCTTGGTGGTGTAGTGGTTAAGCATTGGGCTGTTAACTGAGAGGTCAGCAGTTCAAAACCACCGGTCACTTTGCAGGAGAAAGATGAGGCTTTCTACTCCCATAAAGAGTTACAGTCTCAGGAACCCACAGGGGCAGCTCTGCCCTGCCCTACTGGGTCACCATGGGTCACAATTAACCTGATGGCAGTGAGTTTGTTTCCGGTTACATGGCTACAGTCATCAAAACAGCCATGTACTGGCATGACAGTAGCCATACAGACCAGTAGAAGGGTTTTGAAAGCCCATTCACTGGGGGAAGAAGAGTCTCTTCAATAAATGGGAAAATTCGATTCCCACAGACAGAGATAGGAAACAGGATCCTTGCTTCACAAAAACAAATGCAAAATGGATTGAGGGCAAACCTGTGCAAACTGAAAGCAGCAGAGTCTTCGAGGCATAAGCAGACGCAGCACTGCCAGGCCCCGTTCTCAACAATGGATTACATCATACAATAACAAAGGCACAAGCAGTAAGAGACAAATAAACAGGACCTCATAAAAATCAACGACTTTTGTTCCACAAAAGATTTTATAAGAAAAGTGAAAGGATAAGCTACCGACTGGGAGACTATCTTTGGAAACCAATTGTACACAATAACAAAATTACATATACAACTTCAACAACCTTATAATAGAAAGACAAATAATTCCAATCATAACATGGGCAAAGGACTTGAATAGACATTTCACCAGAAAGGACATTCAAGTGACCACCAAAAACATACGCAAAGATTCTCAGCAACGTCAGCCATCAGAGCAATAAAATCAAAAGCCACAATGAGATACTATTACAGTTCTATTACGAGGACAATGATTTAAAAAAAAAATGTTGGCAAGGAAATGGGAAAATTGTCTCCCTTATCCACGGCTGGTGAGAATGCAAAATGGTATGCTTAGTATTGAAAACAACGTGATGATTGTTAAAAAGCAAACAGAACTATCATGTGACCCAGCAAGTCCACTCCTATGTACGTATCCAAAGGACGCGACAGTAGAGAATCAAAAAGAGGCCTGTACCCCAGTGTCCACGGCAGCACTGTTCACACTACTCAAAAGGCCGAAACCACCTACACGCCCCTCAGCAGGTGAGTGGACAAACACAACATGACAAACATATGTACTGGGGTGCTACTCAGCCAGTAGGAGAAATGAAGTTTGGTACTTACTGGAGTGTGGAGGGAACTAAGACAATATGCTGAACAAAATAAGTCAGTCACACAGGGGTAAGACTGTATGGCCTCCCATAAAAAGACCAGAAGAGGAACACGTATGAGCACCAAAGTTATTACTGGTTACCAGGATGTGGGTGAGGGTGAGTGCAGGTAATGATGGTGGAAAAAGCGCACTGATGGAGGGTAGGGTTGCACAACTGAGTCTTGTAATTGGCAGTGAGTTGCACACACCTGAAAAAAGTTGAATCGACAAGCGTGCACGATAGACTTACTAACAATAATGACAAAGGTGAATAAGTAAGAGTCCCTGCTATGCACAACTAAGCAATTTAGGTGACTTGGCTCCTTGCTTTGGCAGTTTGGGGCCACCTTTTATGGGATACCACGAATTGGCCTAGTCACATATTTCGTGTTTCTGTTCTGCCTCCTAGTGTGCGGTGTCGTGTCTGGAGGTCTTAAAAGCTTGTGTGTGGCCACCGAGGGCCTGACAATTGGTCTCCAGTCTCCTGGAACTCTAGGGGCTGAAGGAGAGCCAGAATGTGTCGCTGATTCCCCTTTACCACGAGGCCAGTCACCTGGAGGGTACCCAGCGGAACGTTCTAATCAGAGAATCCATAGAAAATCCTGATCAAAGGGGGGAAATACACACGAGAATTCCAGAGTCTCCTGGATGCTTCTGAAACGATTGCCCTGAGGTAATCTTTTCTTTTCAACCCAAAATATTCCCTGACGACTTCTTAAAGCTGAGCAACAGTTTAGCTTAACTGAAAAGAGGCATCGTCCAGTAAGGACCACCTATAGGGATCAAATTGATAAGAGCAGCCTGAAATATTAGGTGGAACCTTAGAGAGCAGTGAGTTTATGTTAATGAGGGAGGGAACTTTTTTTTTTAAGGATTAGTTACACAACTCAAATGTAATTAATAACACTAAATTGTACATGTAGAAACTGTTGAATTGGTGTATGTGTTTCTGTGCAGATTCTCAACAACAACAAAATAAATGTTAAAAAAAACCACCTTATGAATAAAATAGCATTTTAAAACGAAGAGGAATCAGTATTACTTTTTGTATTTCCTTTTGCCTCAGGCTGATGGCTCAGCACTGCACACGTCTTGAATTTATTTTAAAAATTGGTATTCTGCTCATCAATTGTTTGCACTCGTTCTGATTTCTGAAAATGTTGCGCTATGAGTTTTCTTTTTGTCCCTCAGCCTTTTGGTCTTCCCTAAAAGTCTGCTCCTGGCACTCTGCCTTCAGCTCCCATCTCTGGGTCTGACTCCCTTAGTCCCTGGGGCCCCACAGCGTCCTCTCT